GGAAGGCAGGGTCTGAGAGGCAAGACAGGAAGCAGGGGCAGGTAGTACACCTGGCCGTGTGCAGAGAGACAACTGAGGGCCCAAAGAGAATGTGCGAATGGGAGTTGGCCATAGCATACAGGCAGCCCGGCCCTGGCAGCTTCTCGTCAGGATTGTGCTTCCCTCTGTTAAGAATGTTTTACAGTATCATGGGAGCAAATGGAGAAGAGAGACAGAATTCCTGGACACATCCTGCCGTCCACACCTACAAAACTTCAACATGCACGGCTCATGGATATAACTACCCAGGGCTCCTAGGGTCAGGAAACATGGATGCTACACAAGAGTCTGGGAAACCTTTCAAAGACCAAAAGATATTTCGTTGTTATTCATAAATTTTGGTGCAAAAGCTTCCTTGTCGGAAGTGTGACTATTCACCGTCTCCACACAGACACTAATGGTTTAAAGGGTGGGGTTGCAGACCCTACTGGGTATCTTTTATAATACATGCAGCACAGGAGCTACAACAGCCTTCTCCAACAGACTGAATTCTAACACATCTGGCTTCCAGAGCTTCAGATGAGGGCTGTAGACTCAGACCATATGGTGATGTGTACACGGTATATATTAAGAAAAATGTCTTTCCTTCTATTCACTTGGTAAAATGCTCTAAACAGAGCTGAAATGAACCAGCTGTGAGTTTCACTGGAAAGAGCACAGACAATCAATTTGGATCATTTAAGCTTATTGAAGAATTCAACTCATAAAGCACCGATAGGTCTGAATCAACAACTCCTGCAATCTCTCATTGTAATAAATAAGATTTTAATGACCTCAGACAACCACCATGCAACGAACCTCTACTTTAATGGTGCTCTCAGAGGCTTCATCTGGAGGTTTCTCTTTGAATTAACTCCAGCTTCGCTTATTAGTAGAAACCCGCCATGATTCAATTCCGGATAGTGCGGCACAAAACTTTATTTAAGTTACGAACCACAGAACAGGAATTGAGCATGGACTAAGGAGATGACAAGGATGGGGTGCAAGTCATCAGAGGTAACTGGTGGGACAGATTACAGACAGCCCAGGCCACAGAGGAGCTGGAGCAGCCTACTCTAGCACACTGTTCTATTCACTGTAACAGTCTAAGCTTTGTGATTTTTTTTTTTTTTTGGTACTGGGGATCAAACTCGGATCCTTGCGCTTGCGAAGCAGGCAGCGAAACCACGGAGCTAAATCCCTAGCCTAAGCTTTGTGATTTTAAAGGATACTTCGTCACATCTGCAAAATCCCTTTTGGCAAATAAAAGAACATATATTCATGTTCTAGGAGTTGGTGAATGGACATTTTGAGGGTCACTGCTTACCAAAACCTACACTGATCTCTCTTTATCTTTTCCCCTTACAAATATCACCAGCCTCAGGGGCTTTGAATATCCTTGCTCTACCAGTAGGCTCCAACTGATACCTTCCATCTTCATACATATCACTGTTTGAGACCTTCCAACTCCTGGCAAGGTGTAACCTCTGCTTCAGAGACCGTATCACAACTGAAACTACAGTCACTGTTGCTACTCTGTTCACCGTCTGTGTCGCCACTAGAAGGTAAACGTGGAAGGCAGGGTCTG